GTCTGGTAGTGCCTATTGTGATTTGGAAATCGCGGTTGAGGTTCGATAGTGCCCATTGTGATCTGGAAGTCGCGGTTGAGGTCCGGCAGTACCCACTACGATTGGCAGTTGCGGTTGAGGTCCGGCAGTGCCTACTGGGATTTGGCATTCGCGGTGGAGGTCCGGCTGTGCCTACTGGGATTTGGACTGCGAGGAGGAGGTGGAGGCGGAACCGAGAAACAACTCTGATAAAATCTAATGACCCTTACCTGACAGGTGGGGAAAAAGAAAATTACTTGTACAAATTTATACGTAATTTTACCCGCTAGATTCCCGTTAGCAATGGGATGGTAAAAAACGATTTTGGCTGACCAACGGCCTAATTATACCTAATTATTTAAAAAAATATATAATTGATATGTTTTATTTAATAAAAATAATACGATATTGGAATAATTTCCTAAATATTTGGATTGGAAATTATATTTTGTTTTTTGAATTGTAATTTATAAATCATATTTTTTGAATTTATATAAATTGGAATAATATATAATTTTTTTAAGGTTATAATAATTTAATATTTATAAATTATTTTTGGAAATTTTTATAACATAATAAAAAATGTTTGTTTTTTGATAAATTTTATATATATATTAATTTTTAAGATATTATTTTTATAAATTAATATATTAATTATTTCTAAATTGGGAGGAAATGGAATAGGGTATGAAATTAGCAAGAAAATAAGGAGAAATTAAAATAATTAATATTTGATATTAAAATATTATATATTTTTTTATATATTCGTTGAAATTTTTGTTATTAAATCTGAGGCCTTAGGGCCGTTACAGAATGGTTTTTGGCTATTATTTTGTGCAAAATTTTGACCCTGGGTTTTGCTATTTTGTAAGTGGACCCCTCCCTGGTACCGGAATTTTGCATTGGAAGTGCGAATTTGTTACCTTCCAGTCCCGACCATTCTGTCGGAGTCTGGAGGGCTAATTAATAATTACTACAAATTGGATGAATTCAAAGCGTAAATGGATAATACTCAACTATAGCCCCTACAAACTGGATGGAATCAAAAAATCACAGAATAATTTTCATAGCCTAGGAGATCTTAAATAAGAGTGTATATTGAATGCATCAAGTTCCAATGCAGTCTGATAAGTGCACTTTATTGATGCCAATATGAACAAATTTAACATCAGTCGCGACTCGGGTTGGCCGGACTGTTCCAGGTTACTTCCCAGGGATCCTAGGATAGTGCGAGTATAGCCACCCCCAGTCCCCACCATTCTGTAAAGGGCAAATCGAGCTAACGGATGCGAGCGGATGCGAGTCGAGCAAAATCGGTGACTTATTTTGTAACTAGGGGTCAGATAATATATATATATATCGATATTTATATATTTTTTGATTATGACATCCAACGTTTTATTTAATGTTTAGCTTGGCCACTCAGACAGCGTCACGCCAAAACAGACGGATGAACGCAAAAGAACGGAAAAAATGAACCGCGACTCGGGTTGGCCGGGCTGTTGCACGTTACTTCCCAGGGATCCTAGGATAGTGCGAGTATAGCCACCCCCAATCCCGCCATTCTGTAAAGGGTAAATCGAGCCAACGGATGCGAGCGGATGCGAGTCGAGCAAAATCGGTGACTCATTTTGTAACTAGGGGTCAGATAATATATATACCTTGGTCTTCCTAGGCCTGTCTTATTTCCGACCTTACTGAGAAAAACAACCCTGACTACCCAGGGGCGGAAAAAATGGCCAGGGGCAGAAATCAATATTTACCAGTTTTGGACCAAGATTGAGGGTCATTTCAAGTGAATCCTGCTGCCACCAGGCCCTGCACACGGCCACAGGTTTCTTTCAATCAGCGCTGAAGCTCAAGTCGGTCAGGCAAGAACATTTCCCAGACCATAGCTTTCGGCCAACTAATTTTCCAAAGTAACTTCCATACTTCAATGAATCCAAGATAGGATCAAAAACATTCAGCTGGAAGTCAAAACAATAGAACCTCCGCCACTGGAGCTATGCCATTCATGGGTTTGGCCCATCCCAATCTGGCCTGGGAAATGGTTGGCCCGTCTCATTTATTAACAAACGTGCTGGGAGATCAGACATGGCTTACTTTTCAGATTGTTGTTTTTGGAAATTCAAAGTTCAAAGTTTCAACCACGGAAGAATGGAGAAACACACTTCAAAAATCATATAAATCGACATGACAGTCTGCAACCTCTTGAAGGAGCTCCTGAATTGATCTGAAGTGTTTTTCCCAAGGTGCTGCAGTACTGCTAGGTGGCATTTATAGCTTTTGCCATGCCCTCCCACAGCAGACTTGGCCGGCCCGCTTCAGCTGAGTTGGTTCCTGCCGTGCTGGAGCAAGCGGTGGTTGAACCAGAGAAGCCACTTTCGTTGGGCCAACAGTGGGAAGCTTGCCGGGTGATTCGAAGCCGGTTGAGGGAAAATAACTGGACGCTTCTAAAATGGGTGAAGCCAGAATTGGTGAATAAACCAAGTATGCCTGCCATTGCGTTGAATTGCCGGGCATTAACCATTCTGGCGCAGTGGTGGTGCCCTCAGCAACGGAAGCCCAAGTCCCCATCGGTGCTAGATCTCAAGAAAGAGGCCATGTGTTTCAAACCAAAAGTCTTTTGAAGGGAAGCTTGCAAAAATAAAACATTATGATATATGGCTGATGTTCTTTACGGTCCCCAATGAGCATGTGAAAAAATGGGTGGATATGACAACATTGATATTATTGATCAAATGTCTTGACAATTCGTTTTTGGCCCCTGTTTTTGTGGGATGTTTTCAATTCCCTTCAAGGTTCACATCTTGCGGTCGATCTGCTGTGCTCCCCTCGACCCTGTGGCCTTACATGCTGACGCTTGGGGCTTGAAGAAGCTCTTCACATACGGCGTCAGGAAGGGTGGCCATGACAAGGTGATGGAAAAGAGCCCACAGCGAAGAGATCTTTGGTTGTGCACAGCAAACCAATGGGGGTTTTAAAAAAGTATATGTTGCAATATTCATTATTATTATTAGATACGATGTGGATTTTTTTTATATCGAGATATTATATAATTCTATTTGATCATTTTATTGTAAACTATAACTATAGAATATCTATAATGATAGTGGGCAACTTATATATAATTACTCTTCAAACACAGTATCCTGCTGTCACTTTCGCACTGCAAGTTCCAAATCCATCTTCAGTTTGGCCAGCCCAGGACACTGCAGTGAATCCTTTCTTTGATGAGCTCTGGAAGCATTGGCACGTGCAATCTGGATGCACCGACATTCCCGTCGAAGTGGACGACTCAGATGATGAGAGCTCAGACTTCACAATGTACCTGTGTGTGAAATCTGACCCATATGGTCCTGCTCCTGATGGTAATGGTGGGGCTGTGAAAGCCGGGAAGTCAGAGCTTGCTCCGCCAGTTGTGGCACCGGTGGAGGAGCCGACCATTCCTGTTGAGAAGTTGGTCATCGTTGAGGACTCTCCACTCAAGCTGACCACAAAGAAGGAGGAGGTTGATGCAATGCCCATGTCTACAGCTCAAATCGAGGGCAGGATTACAAAGCTCAAGTTTCTTGCACTGACACTGACACAGCAACTCAGTTTTTCTTTCAGCCCCCAAGATTTGCAAAACGAATATATGGCATCTGGGTCTAGGCGTCTAGCCACCATTTCAACAACATGGGTCTTTTGGGTTTTCACCCCTTGATTAGATTGCTACTGGCTCAGCGAGCTGCTTCGACCTATGCACGTGACAATGCCGAGACCCAGCCACTGTCTTCTCCGCTGGCTTCGGCTGTGGCTGCAACTTTGGTGGGGCACTCACCTTCACCACCGGAAGGTCTGGAAGGCTCTCCGGCTGGCCAACCCTTGAAGCGATCACTGGAGATAGATCTTGGGAGTGCTGTGGCTAGTGAGCCAACGGAAGAGCCAATTCCTGAGCCAGCAATGTTGCCTCCTGCACTGGACACCCTTGCTGATGTGGCTGAGGACGAGGGCTACGTACCAACTTCACCGGCAGAAACACCTCAAGAGCCTTGTACAGGAACAATGATCAAAGATGAAGACCCTGCGCCACCTCTTGTCAAGGACACTGAGACTGACAAGGCTGCAGAGCCTGAAGCTTCTCTTCCCATGGACACCGAGATTGACAAGGCTGCAGAGCCTGAATCTTCTCTTCCCATGGACACCGAGACTGACAAGGCTGCAGAGCCTGAAGCTTCTCTTCCCATGAACGCCGAGACTGACAAGGCTGCAGAGCCTGAAGCTTCTCTTCCCATGGACGCCGAGACTGACAAGGCTGCAGAGCCTGAAGCACCTCTTCCCATGGACACCGACCAGACTGACAAGGGTGGAGAGCCTGAAGCACCTGTGCCCATGGACACCGAGATTGACAAGGCTGCAGAGCCTGGACAGCCTTCAGAACCTCTTGCCGTGGACATGGGCATCGAGAATGATAAGGCTGCAGAGCCTGAAGAACCTCTTGTCGTGGATGTGGACAAGAAGATGGAAGGCAAACCTGAAGAGTTTGTTGAGATTGTGGATGACTCTCAGCCTCCTCTGGGTTCTGGAGTGGATGCCCAGCCAGACGACTTCGTCGAAAAGATGCTTGAGGCTGCCTATGAACAGGACTCAGAGGAGCCACCTGTTGTGAAGCGAACTGAGCAATGGAAGCTGAAAGCTGCCAGCAAAACGCCCAGGGGCAGAAAGCCCAAAGCAAAGGCCAAGGCTGGTGCAAAGCCTAAGGCTGGTGCAAAGCCTAAGGCTTCTGCAAAGGCTAAGGCTGGTGCAAAGCCTAAGGCTTCTGCAAAGGCTAAGGCTGGTGCAAAGCCTAAGGCTTCTGCAAAGCCTAAGCCTGCTGCAAAGGCTAAGGCTGATGCAAAGCCTAAGACTAAGGGAAAGAACAAGGCCGAGGTTGATGGAGAGGGCATGGCTCTTGAAGAGCCTGCGCCAAAGCGCAGACCTGCTGCTGGGCGAACCAAGCACCACATCTCCATCGACGACATTGTGGAACCCACACCTGCGTCATGGAAAGCGGACCCAGCACCACCAGCACCTGTCCCGAAGAAGAAGAGGATGGCTCGCACCAAGAAGTCTGCTTTGGAAGAACGTGCTGCTGCTAACCAGTTGGCCAAGGAGCCTGCTGATCAACCAAAGATTACTTGGGGTCCTGTTTCAAAAGAAGGCGCAGAAGCTTTTCAAAAAAACTTGTCCCCTTTGCAGGAAGCCGATGCTGGAGCTGAACCTTCTGCCAGTGCTGATGGACGTGGGTCAGCTCAGCCTTCTGTGAGCGCTGGTGGGCATGAGTCAGCTGAGCCTTCTGCCCGTGCAGGTGGCGATGCCATTGGCGCCAGTGATGATGCTTGTGCACCGCCTGCTGAGAAGGAGAAAGGTGAGGAAGCGGGCAAGTTGAAGAGCTTTGCCCGTCGCTTTTGCCCGCAGAGAAGCCCAGCGAAGGAGAAGTGGTTTGTGCTGCGCAAGGTGTTCTTGGACGAGATTCAGGAGTCTGCTGAGGGCCTGGGATCGTCTTGCAGCAAACTTCAGGCTTGGTTCTTCCAAAAAGATTTGTTCCATAAATCATGAGGTGTGCACAGTCTCCGTTGTTTCAAATTAAGATGTTAAGTTTCTCTCGTTTTTGCACACTGTTGAAACCGATTCCCCAGCTACGCACTGCAGGCTGATTGGTGGACCTATACTCGCAAGAAGCTGGAGGAGGTTGAGGTTCCACCCTTTCAGGACTCAGAGCAGTTCAGCGCCGCATTTCATGCGCTCGTGCACTCCTTTGTGCAGCCGTTCCTGGATGAGAACGGCCATCAGATGGAGGATTCTGAGGACTAATTCATTCACCAGAGTCCTGCTTTGAGTCATGAGCAATGGGCCCTCCAAATATCAGAAATTTATTGCAATTTCTGCAACATACATCATACAATAAATGACGATTATGCCACATCAATGTTTTACTAGATATACTTTGTACCGTATACTTGATTTATCATACAAGCTATGGAGTATTTATATTATGTATGGAGTATGGACCAATTGTGGAATTGGAATGGAGGGGTTACGATGCGGCTTGTGACCTGCGGCAATTCTTGCCACTGCAGTGCTAGCAGCTGCTAGCAATCTTCAACTGTTCCAAGTGAGTGATGTTGTGTTCATTCGACACAAATTGATTTCCTACGACCATGTCACATTTGGGCATGAGGCTCAAGAAATTCATTGGCCTCTGGGGTTGAACAACATGGAGGGAAAAAAGACGTGTTTCATAGCGACGTGATCTTGGTGCAAATTGTTGTCCAAATTTCTAGTTGCCGAATTATTGAAATCAAAAACTGACAACCTTTCAAACGTCCGAAAACCAATCACCACAATCAACACCTTGTTAGACTTGACCTTTTCACCATGGACGGATGTTTCATTTCTGCCATGTGGCCAGGTTCAATGTTTCCGAAATTGCGTGGAGGCATCAACTGTGCCAAGTTCGGCATTGGTCCTCGGCCGAAAGGTGACCCTGGCTATGGATTGCGGGTGATGTGCGAGATCTCTTTTGTTCTGAAAAACATGGAGCAATGAATGTTTGATCTTCAGCCTTGGTATGGTTCCAGGACGTTCCAGTTTATCACTAGCTGGCCCCAAAGGAAGCAAACAGGCTTCAAACACATTGACATGCAATCCACTCTATGATAGAGTTATTGCAATAATGTATATATAACCTATACTCATACCTACTCTATGATTAACATATGACATTTGTGCCGCAGGGATATACTGTGAACATTTCATCAACTAGCCTCGCTGAATGCAGCCATGACCCCATCGCAATTTGAGCTGTTTATGCGCCGCCTGATCAAGATGAAGACACCCAAAGCCACTCAGCATACAGTTCATCCCTATAGATTCCTTAGATAACTTGGATTTGGCGACATGCAATTGGTCGTTGAAAACTGTTCTTGAATGTTCTTGATGTAAGTAAACAACCCATATAATATATATAATTTTCTAATTTTCCTATCTCCCAATCCTGAGGTTGTCGTGATGCTGGTCCTTTTGACCTCCTGGCTCGACATGCCCGTGCAAAACAAGGCTCCATTCCAGGTTCTCGAATACTATGCTGGGGTGGCACGGATCGCTACCTTGGCAAAGTTTCTGGGGCTTCGCAGTGCTGCTGTTGACATTGAGTATGGAAAGCATAACAAACCGAAGTCAGAGAGACCCCCAATGGATATAAACAGCGATGCTGGGCTGATGTGGCTAGGTATCATTTGGACTGTGTTGCTGTTTTTCTTTCAATTTCTTTTCCTGTTTCATGGTGGATGAGATGATATACCAAAAAAAACTTCAGAAACCTTCAGAGTATGCATGCATTTGCCAACTGAGTCTATGCATCCACCTTATACTAACTTCTGACCCGGCATTGGCGCTATTTCTTGCAGTGGTATGCAGTGCATGGGTTCCAGTCAACAGGGGCTCAACACAACGCTCCATACTCACACCCCTTGGGTGTGAGGATTTTCCAGGGGTGCGTCGAGCTAACAAGATGATGTCCAGGACACGGTGGTGATAAATGATGGCATTGGAATCATGTTTGAACAGTTTTGAACTATAGTACTGTAACGGTAATATTCACTTAAAATATACAGTATACATGTGATCTTGAATTATAACATGGTGCCTTTGGTGTGAATAAAAATCAAGTGTTTTTTTTTCAGGAGCGTTATCTTGATGTTGTTGGCAGTAGCTCTTGGTGGCGACTTTTACCTGGAGAACCCCCACAATTCACTGATATGCATGCATCCTCGCTATGTTTGGTTTGTGGAACGCCTAATGGAATTGGGTATACCGGAGCCTCCTTGGCATTCTTGGTACAATCTTCTTTTTTTGTTGATAATCTACTGTAATACCTGGGCCCTCGGAATAAATCAGCATGCCCTTAAGATACTTTGCCATTGACAACATTGCCATCTAAGACCTACAAGATTGCATTTTGGATGCGGAAATGGGGGTCGTTGAGCTTTAAACGTACTTGGATTTGGTCTACATCAATCACTATTTCAACACTGGATGCAGGCTCCCTCACACAAGAAGAGAAAAACAGCAGCATATCTTTGACCACCAGATACGTTGACAAACATGGCCGGAAGAAGTTCAAAGGAAACTCAAAGTTGAAGCAGTCCCAGCAGCCCTACTTCAATTGGCATTGTGATATATATTGTTTTTGCTTTACAACTTCCCCCCTTCCAAAAAAAAGAAAACAATTATGAAGGTCTTGTTTGAAACTCCTGTGCTTCCTAATCCAAGGCACTATGCCTTCAAATTTGCCGGCAAGATGGTGCGGGTGATGGACCAGGCACGGCGTGATGCTGCGCAACGTCCGCCCCGCATAGAGGCTGGCAACATGAAGTGTTCAGGCAATAGTAATATCAGCAATCAAACATTGGTCAATTAACTAATCTTCAGGTTATTGATATTATAGAAATGTGCTAGTGTCTGTTTCATGTGTCTCTCCATGTGCCATTGCCATCAAAGTCTTCACTATCTTCTTTTGCTTGTAATCCAGGTGACTTCATTCGATTCTCTCATCACACTCTTTACGAACATGGAGTGGTGCAATGAGTCAATAGCATGGGACGAAGAGGGAGATCTTCGCGATGCCATCAGGTATGCACGGGGTTCAAAAAAACTTAGCATTCCTCCAGAATGGAGGGATGCACTTCCAACCACTATTCCTCCCTTGCAGCCGTGAACCGCTGTGCATCTAGGAAGTTGGCAGCTTTGAAAAGTGGGTTATCGGGATGCATCGATCTGGTTCCCAAAAGAACACTGTTCATATGAAATTGTTTTCGATCGATCTCTATTCAGTTCCCCAAAGAAATTAATTTCATATGAAATGTGTTATCCTGGGTTGGCAAAACTGATTTGTTTTCATATGAAATGTTTTCCTGGTTGGCAAAACTAGCAGATGTTTCATATGAAATGTGTTATCCTGGGTTGGCAAAACGGACTTGTTTCATATGAAATGTGTTATCCTGGGTTGGCAAAACGGACTTGTTTCATATGAAATGTGTTATCCTGGGTTGGCAAACTGATTTTTTTCATATGAAATGTTTTCCTGGTTGGCAAAACTAGCAGATGTTTCATATGAAATGTGTTATCCTGGGTTGGCAAAACTGACTTGTTTCATATGAAATGTGTTATCCTGGGTTGGCAAAACTGATTTGTTTTCATATGAAATGTTTTCCTGGTTGGCAAAACTAGCAGATGTTTCATATGAAATGTGTTATCCTGGGTATGCTAGCAGATGTTTCATATGAACGGTTTGGGGTAATTCATATGAATTCAAATTAAGGTTTGAGGTAATTCATATGAAAAGGATGTTTCATATGAAAGGTTTGGGGTAATTCATATGAATTAAGGTTTGGGGTAATTTATATGAAAAGGATGTTTCATATGAAAAGGGATGGTTTCATATGAAAAAATGAATTTTCATATGAAACTGAAAATCTTAGGGGCGGAAATACCCGGGATAGGGGCGGAAATGCCCGGGATAGAGGCGGAAATGCCCGGGCACCAATTTTGAGATTCTCATTTTTACACTTTGTCAGGACGGCCAAGTTTCATATGAAAACCTGGTTGCATCTACACTTTTTCAGGACGGCCAAGTTTCATATGAAAATATGGTTGCATCTACACTTTTTCAGGATGGCCAAGTTTCATATGAAAACCTGGTTGCAACTACACTTTTTCAGGACGGCCAAGTTTCATATGAAAACCTGGTTGCATTATATGCTCAAGGGATCCAATTGTTTTGGGGTGTTTCACACATGGAGCTTCCATCCCGTTTGTGGTCGTCGGCTACTTTGGATTCAGGGGCCAGCTTGATTAAATCGGAGGCTGGTATGGGTTCATCAGAGAGCATGGAGCTTGACTCAAAAACCGATGAGGAGTTGTACGCGGAGCTCATGCGCTTAGAGGATTGGAACACAATTTCATAGGGTCTCAAATAATATGACATAATATATAGAATGCAGCTACAGTACTATCAGAAAAGTTTATATTAATATCACATATCGATCGACGATGAACACCCATATATAAATTCCCTCGCACAGCTGATGTCAGGAGTACAAGGCGCAGCAGCAGAAGATCGAACAGCAGGGCGTGGCACCTCCAGTTCCCACCCCTGTTCGCAGCCACCAACCACCACCAGTGGTATCCCAACCGTCACCGGGGATGGATGAGTTGGCTGGGCCAGTGGTATCCCAACCGTCACCGGGGATGGATGGGTTGGCTGGGCCAAATGAGGAAACCCAACCAGGTGAAATTGAAACACCAAAGACTGCTACTTGTTTCAACAACAGACCACCTTTTTTAGAGCAGCTATAGTGCCCCAAAATAGTTGTTTTATGGTATAGTCAACTAATATGTTTTTGGTTTCTGTTCATTGCATTTCGCTAGCACTCAGGATGCATGTGCTGATGAAGGTTCGGCCTTTGATTCACTGACTGAGAGTCAAGATATGGCTGATGTTTCTTATTGGCAGTGGTGGTATGGATCGAGTGGTGGTGTTTGATAGTCTGTAATTTTATACTGCCATTGCCAAGGTTGATTTGGCAACCGGTTTAGCCCAGTGCTTTGGCGCTGGTATTCCTGCTCCTCAACATGTCCCTGATGAACCAGTGCATGGCCCTGCTGTGGATGGCGATGAGTTGATGGTAGATAACGATCCATATGGCTTCTTTGAAAAAGCACAGGCCCCTGAAGTAGTATCATTTTCACCACATCTTTCGCCGCTCTGTTCGGTAGGTAGCGGAGGCTGCTGAGTCTGAGAAACAGGAGAAGCAACAACTCTTTGAACCCAATTATGTTGAGAGACTTCTTAAGTATCAGTCCCCATTATATACTTTTGGTGCTTTAGCTGGAAGGACCCTACTGGAAAGAATGTGAGCAATGTGGAGAACTTGCAACTGGACGCTTTCGATGTTCCAGCTGCTGGGGCCTAACCAACATCTCCCTGCAGTACAAGTGTTTAATGTAAACATTGCTGTAGTTTTCTTTCAAAATTCAAGTGTGCTTAGTTTGATTTACTTTCGTCAGGGTCCTCGGCGTTGTAGTAGCTGAGGTCAAAACCAAGCAGGTGAGCTCGCAGGGCATGAAACGAATCTACCGTCTCATGACCCCGCGAGAGGATGGATCCCTTCTTGTTCCCCAAGCCGTTCTGGATAAGTGGAAGGATACTGTGAATGGTGGCCGAGATGAAGTCAAACAACTTTGGCTCAATGCGAATGAAGACAAGGACTGTTAAACTTCCCAATCCTCAACTGGCCTGTTTTTCCCCAACGTCGCAGGAGCTTTTCATCCAACGGTGCAAGCGCATTGATGTCTGAAAAGGCAATGACCGACGATGGTATGGATGCGTGCTTTTGCTGAAATGCTGCAGTGTAAATTTTACAGTGTACATATAAACAGAATCTAAGAATCAACATAATGTCCTTTTTGGGGGGCTCGACTTTACATGCAATGCCGAGGGCCCGGATTCTCGCAGTCAAAGCGGAGTGCAAGAAACACACGGGGTGGATCAGGTCACTTTCATGCATCCAGGGTGTTGTGCGCCAAACATAGAATTCAAATCAATCATCTTGCAGTCATTTGGCGGGTTGCTCCACCATTGCCAAAGGCGAGACCTGTACGAAAAAAACGTCCGGGTCTATTGGGTGGAGGATCCACTGGCTGGGCGTCGATTGAACCCTGGCTGGTTTTGATTTCCTGCTGGACAATTGCTTGGGCATCCATCTGCACATGTCAGCCATGTCAGCTAACACAATATATCGATCTATATATATATATACATGATTGGCGATATGATTATATATATATATATAATATGCATCATGCAACCACATCTCAGGAAGAGAAAGCGAACCACTTTGACCGCAGAAGAGGACGCCGACCCACAGGAGGTCGAAGACAGTATGAAAGACATCTCTGCGCCAGATAATTTCGATCTTCCGGAGGAAGTTGAAGGACATAAAACATTAATTAACACATTACATCACATGCTAATTACATATTGCGTTATTTAATTTTACAATTGTTAATGTATTATATATAAGCAGCTGCAATCTACATACGCTCGAAGTTGAATATGAGAAAAATCGTTCTTGTTTGTGTGGTGTTACCCTGCTAGAAGCCGAAGTCCTTTTGGATGCGGATTCCAAAGAGAACCAGAAGTCCCAGATGAAAGCGATTGCGTTTCCTCTCATGGACGACCCTGATGCCTTGCCTTCGTCCTACATCACCAAGGTGTTGACTTGCGTGAGTAAGTGGTCTTGTAAGCTGCAAAAGCTTACTGAAGGCGCTGGTCCAGATGTGACACCTAATACCTCAATGGATGCGTTTCTTTCCTCCATTCAGTTTTTCCATTTGCCCTTATGGACATCAGCATGCTGTAATGTAACAAAACAGCCCAGGTTGTCCCAGAAGGCTTTGGCGATTGACAAGGAGCTTACGGGATTGACTGACAAACTGACACAGGTCCACACGAAAGGCATTGTTGATGGCTACAAAAGAGAGTAGCTTGGATTAAAACACCCATTTCAAAATGACAGTTTCAACCTGCCAATCCGGCAACTCCCCAACCCTTGCTTCAATCTATATATGCATATATATATATATAAGCCTCTCCTGCCCAGGTGCCAGGACAATCTGAAAACAGTCTATCGCAACTGCCAGATGAAGTGCCTTGGATCGATACCATGTTGCCATTGATGTGCTGATGTGACTCCGGCATCTCATTACCATGTTTTTGGTTCGAGTTTGTGGGACATACCATGCAGGATACGGATTAATAGAACAACATCAGCTATGATCCAGGCTTGCAAGTAGAGCTGCCTTTATACTGCTATGGCTATAACATGCTATAACGTTACTGCATGATGTTTTCAAAGAGTATTTCAGAATATGTGCATATACCGAAATCACTTACCTATATCGACAGACTTGATGTGATATAAATACCCTTGAATTGTAAAATTCCTGCCACAATTGTATTCCGAATATGTTACACACCACCTTTTCCTCGGGCCATGGATGGCGAAGATGACTTCTTGTTGGAACTTCTCACATACACCTGCCCCTACACTGGCCAAAAAAGATGTGCTGCTCCACTTTCTGAACAAGATGGGAAGCGTGCCAAACTCCAGACCCTCAGCTTAAGAATATATAACTTGTAACTGCAGTACTGGCCCAACAATTGTCTCTCCCAATCCTGCACCACGACCCCGAGGATAAAGCACTTGGAGTGTCCCAAGATTCCAGCAACGCGTGCTTGTGCCAGTCAAGCGTCCCCAATAGATGAAGCGTGCCTGCACACAAGAATGCATGTATTTGTTGTGGAACCTAGGTAAATACCTAAACACCGAAAGGACATAATTCCCCAAGTTATCATACAGTACTGTCAGTTTGAATTTTGAATCGTTGACCCACACCGTTTAGGATGAGAAATTCAAGCAGGTCCTGAAAATTCTAGACGAACTATCGGCAACAACATCTCCGTCAGATTTGCCGTGGGACAAGCTGCAAAGCTGCTTCATAGTCAACAGGATTCAGAAAAATTTATCTCCACTTACAACAGCTGGTAAGATTCTGAGCTATGCCAAGCAACAGGTTGTTGCTTTTCGTGAACGTGTGGGTGTAACTGTGTGCGTATTCAAAATTGGCGTCACAGCATCTCCTACCCACAGATTT